TGTATCATGGACTCTCGATACTAACTTGGCCAGTAAAACGGCTGCATTTAGCTCCATACGTGGAACAGTCAAGTCTTGCTTAATTGGATTGACTCGACTTTTTGAACATTGTAACGAAACCCTTACATTACCTGACTCATCGACCACTCGTAAATAAACACATGCACCGTACGCAGTGTTTTGTGCAGCATCTGCATAACCAATAATCTGTGCTGAAAATGTGTTGTGTAAGTTTGTGTATCGTGGTATAGGTATAGATTTCATTTTGAGCAAACTATTGTAAAATTTATGCCATGAAAGCAATAGTTCACCTTGAGGACTATCCTCCCAACCGATCTTGGTTAGCCATAGCTGCTGCATAATAACCTTCGCGCCTACTATAACTGGACCTGCCAAACCTAACGGGTCATAGAATTTACTTATGAAACTCAAAATCTCACGTTTTGTGGAAGGTGTGGCCTCGATTGGTTTAGGACTTGAAATTACAAAAGAATCATCCTTTGTATTGAAATTCAACCCTAATGTTTTGAGTGAAAAATTATTTTTCTCTAGATCCAAGTCATCAAAATGATGCTTAGATTTAGGAATTTCTTGTAATAGCTCGGGTACATTGGAAAACCATTTGTGTAAATGAAAACCTCCTATTTCAAGAAGGCTGCAAAGCTGCCTTTTGGATTCTAGCAGTAACTCTGGGGAGCTTTGCGACACAATGGCGTCATCGACATAAATACAGTTATTTATGATAAAAGCCGCCAAAGGAAACTGCTCTCCATACAAGATGGCAAGCTCCTTTAAACACCTTGTAGCAAGGAAGGACGAAGACTTCATACCAAAACTAACTGTATTTAATTGCATGCATTGTATCTTTTGGTCTGGGCTATCCTGCCAGAGAATGTTTTGCAATGGCCTGTATTTAGGATCTAAATTTATGCACCTAAACATGCTTCTGATATCAGTTATAAAAATATGCTCATCTACTCTAAACAAGAGCAAAATGTCAAAGAGCTCTTTTTGTGATATCGGGCCATTGTATAACAAATCATTCACTGAGACCTTTTTTGAAGTTTTCATAGAAAAGTCCATCACTACCCTACACTTCGTGGTTTTTCTATCAAGTTTTAATACAGGGTGGTGTGGTATGAAGCATACAGGGTCATTTTCAAGATCATATGAATCTATATCTACAAAAGTTCCATGCCCTTGTTCAATGTAATCATGAATAAAATCTTTGTAAAGACCAAACAAAAAGGGGTCTTTTTTGAATCTAAGCTCTAAGTTATTAAATCTTTTCAGAGCTAGATATAACGAATCTCCAAGAGTCTCTTTTACGGATTCTAGTGGCAACTTTAAAGGCAATCCCACCTGAAACTTCTTCTTTTCTGTGTCTAATTTTACAGTATCACAAAACATCTTTTCGCAGGCCTCAAATTCGTTTAACTTCTCTGAAAATACTCGGGAACTTTTTCTACTTGAAAAAAGTTATTTAAGTTTTCATTTAGAGTTTGTAATGTGTCGTCTTCCCTTAAGCAATGAAGTGTAATTGGTGAGTGTGCCTGGTGGTCAGTAGCAGAAGTAGGTAAGTCGCCGCCGACTACATGTCCGAAGAGGGTGTTTATCACGCGAAACAGAGGAAGCCCTTCATTATTCACATGTTGCTTGTTTAGGCTGCTCTGAAGCCATTCTGGATCATTGTGTAGCAATGTCTGAAAAAGAACGTTAGCACCCAATAGAATGTGAATTTTGCTAGGCACATTAAATTTCTCATCAGCTAATACAAGGTTAGGTGGAAGCTCCAAGTCCTCAATCTTGAAAGGAATTTGTGGCAACATAGTTGTAATTTCGTCCATAATATTACAGTGAACATTCATTTTGAAATCGCGTGTAAGCGAATGAACTTGAACACTGACAGACTTGCATATGTTGCTTGTAGCGTTACCAACACCTGTAATTGTTTCAGTTACATCCTTGGGCTCCAACTGAAGCAGGTTTGCCAGCTCAGTTGTGATTAAAGATGCCTGGGAGCAACCGTCAAGCAAAGCCTTAACATGAACTTCGGTGCCGTTCTTAGCAAAAAGCTTCACTTTAACAGTCGGCAACAGTGTGTGCGGGTCATGTTTTTGTGATATTAAACTCACAGGAGGTTTTGTGTTAGATTGATGTAAGAGAGTGTTGTGACCCTTTTCTTTACATTGGTCGCATGTGAAGTAGTAGTACCTACATTTATTTTTGTGTTTATTCAGGCAAATCTTGCAAATCTCATGCTCTTCAACAAACTTGAGCCTTTCAGCAGCAGAAAGAAGCTTAAACTGCGCACATAGATAAAGTTTATGAGCAGAAGACTTACACATCAAGCAGGAGGTTGGCATCGGAGACTTCACCGCTGCATGAGATACCTTGGGTCGTTCGCCGCTCCACTGAGTAGACTGCGCAGGCAAAGGTCTGTCCACATTTTCCAGTGCAAGGGCGCGGGTTTCTAGAAAGTCCAATAAATCAGATACTTTGGGCTCCTTATTTCTAGCTAATTGAAATTCCCTACTGCAAAAGGTATCCAGCTTACGTGTGAGAATTGTCAACAGGATATCATCCCATTGATCGACCGGCTTGCCTAAATTCTTTAGTGCTGCTAATTGCTGCTTTACGACAGAAACAAATTGTCTTATATTCTGAGCAGTTGACTTTGTGATTGGTACAATATCTAACAAAGAGCAAATAAGTTCGTTTGTAATTTTGTACTCATTGCTGTACCTATCATTCAAGATTTTTCTTGCCTCTGTATAATTTTCACCTGTAATCGTCAAGTTTTTTACTAAATCTAGAGCCTCACCTTGTAGGTAGCTTCTTAAATAGAAGAACCTTTGTATATTATCAAGGCGCTCATTATTATGGATGAGACTATCGAACAATCCGATGAAAGTCTTGTAATCTGAATATTTGCCACTAAATGTGGGAATGGAAATGTGAGGCAACTTCGTTTGCATTGGCGCTGAGCAGGAATGTTTGGGCGCAGTTAATAATTCGTCCATCTTAGCACATGTTTTCAGGAAATTACTTTCTGTTGCTTCGAAATCTGCGTCTGACTTGGTTTCGTCTATAGCGCAGATCTCCAAGTTACAGTTTTCATACTTATCAAATGTGGACCTCAAACGTTCCTGCATACGCACAAGCTCAAACTTTGTGAACTCTTTAGAAGCAAACGAATTTACTAATTTAGTTATATTACCTTTTAGATTACCTCTTTTGCGAACAAGCGCTGAAATTACTTCGTTTTCAGCCATGTTGTTTACAATGCGATTACCTATATCACACACAACATAAATCACAAGCTGAATATGTAAACGAAAGCTGTAAATACACTTTTTGTACGCGCGTCACAAATTAATAATTATAGACTGCAAATATAAAATGCGTAAATGCGTAAAATAACAAACTGCAAAATAAAAATACAAAAGTCTTTGAATACAATACAAAATAGAACCGTCAAAATATTGCTCACGATGAAAACGACGTGACGTTGTCGACGAAAGTCAGATTCTGACCAATGGCGTCAGTGCAAGTATGTTGCGCGAACTCGGCGCAGACTTGGCGCAAACCAATCCACTGTAGAAGCACCGGCCAATAAAGGCGCTTGTTGCACATCTCCGACTTCCGCCCGACGAAATACGACTGTACACGAAGAATGGGCAATATGGCTTGTATGACCTTTGTATTATCAATCAAAATAATGCAATGATTGATTGTAATTTGTAATGAGCTGAAAATGAAAAAGCGGAAACAAAATAATTCTGGTGGAATGCGTCAATATACTGCAAAATTCCACCTTGTTTACCACCACTTAGCTCTTGTAGCTTGCTTCCATGGAATGTATGTACTATGAGATTGCGTAATAATTTTAAATGACAGCAAAATCTCGATGAAAAGTAATATGTAAACTTGACCAATACACGCTGAATGTTATTTTCTGCACTGCACTTTCATGTTCACTCCACAAGTCTATAATTATGTAATATGTAGTAGAGTCCACACTGTCTTTGCTACGAAATTTTGCTACGAACAAAGATGGCTACGAAAATGCAACACTCGCGAATATTTTCACTATTTTTACGGTTTGACGGACCATTATGTTAATGTATTATATATTAGCGGACTGCGGATTTAATCATAGGTTTTGGTCAGGTAATTAGTGAATCAAACCACGATATTTATAACAGTTTGCGTTTTATTAGAAATTGGTCAAGCATCACTTTTGTACTTACAGATGGAAGGAAACGAATTTTGACAACATGTCAGAAATACCAAAAATACCAACCTAACAATAAACAGGATGTTGGACGTACCAACACACGGTTGTTCACAACACTTAAAATTTTGTTTACAACGGGAGTATTACCGTGATTAGATTTTTGTTTAACTCGATATTTCGACGAATCCGAAAGAGGTTAGACAGATATGTTTGCCCTTAGAAAGACCTACTCGTGCGTGACCATGGTGCGTGCAACCGCTTCGAAATATCTAATTACGGTAATAATCCCGTTGTAAACAATAATATAAGTGTGTCTTTACTTTTGCTTAGAATCAAGGATTAAGCAAATTTTAAGGGACTACCGAATTATTTTGAGGTAGCAGTTATAACAACTACCCATCACTGCTCCTGTATATTAATGTGCCACATTATTCAGTATACCGCAGATGAAACTCAGTCAAAATAAGTCTTACCATCTACAAACTCTTGAATTATATTCATCTTGGCTCGTTAAAAGTGAGTCGGTGCAGAAACTTGACTTTCATAGCTGTCAGCTTTCAGATTTAATACCTATAACTTTTGTAGGCGCTACAGCCCTTGTGCCGGTAATTTTTTTAAATTGTTTCATAGGTTGTTATACTTTATGAATTAATATGCTTTTCCTACCTACTTTGATCTTGTATAATTTACTGTGAAATAAAAGTATGAAGTAAATTTTTGTAGTGTCGGTAATAACCTCAATCCAGTTAAAAAATTCACTAGCGACCGCCTGGACTTGAACCCGGGAACGTGGGGTACCGTCCCACCGCTCTATCTACCAACTGAGCTACGGGCGCCTAGCGGACCCTGGTGAATTTCTCAACTACTTGATGCTCGTCTCGAAGCGACGATTAAGCGACATCTAGTAATAGTTTTACAGCAAGTCCCGGCGGTCGCTATAATGAATTTTTCAATTTTCTCGTTTTCAATTTATGAGAATAATAATAGCACTGTGAGTGCATTAAAAAATCTCAATACATTATCCTAGTAGGTTGCTTAATGTTAACGATGCTCAGCTAACGAAATTATTTTTGTACCTTCTTACTAAAGGACTGACTTACGAATACACAATAAAATATCTGACTCAAACAGTATCACAAAACGACTGCTTTGACTATTGGGTCGACATTATTCGGATGCAAATTTCCTAAATGCCAAGCGTTCGATCCCTCGGGAGTCAGCTACCGAAAATCCACATAGCTGGTGTTAACCTTATCCCTTGCCAAAAAGTACCTAGACTAGTATGGGGTTTCAATAACTTTCTTTGATGGTAACTTAGGTAAAAGAAAAGCGATTTTTCAACTAAACCCCATAAGGTTTTTAAGGTGTTTTGCCGGATACGCATCAGACAAAAATATATTATTACGATATTATACTGTACAAAAACTGGATACCATGGCATGCGTCATCGTATATGACAAACGTGAGTAACTTTGTATGGAGTCTGTTACTGAAACCGCAATATTGTCTAGTGTGACTGTGATTTGCCAAAAGCACAAATGAAAAAACGGCTAGCGGGGCGCCTCGCTCAGTACTAGCTATGATTTTGACGCTTACTGACTTTAACAGGATATAACTGAAGCAGAAGACCTCAAGAAAACAAAGAAGATGGTTGCCATGGACGTCATATTTCTTGGATTAAAATTGACTAAGAACCACAATATTATGACGTTCTTATATCAGATTTTACTGTTTTGATATTCTTATACTTTGCGATTTTTGACAGTAGTAACCTTGGCTATGCAATATAAGTGACTATCGCGAAAATCCTAAATAGGGTCGAGTGAATCTTCTCTAAACTAATTATTTTGTGTCAAAAGGATAGTCGTCCATAATATTGGCATTTTAGTACAATAGATAAGCTACCTTATTACGCGATATGAATTAGCGCAGCAGGCCCTCCAGTATCGAACATTGGCCTCTACTAATTTGGCACGCTGCTGTGCCTAATTTCTAGTTTACGACGATTTTCATGATACCCAGAAAATTATGTGGGCACCACACCACACTAGCTTGGTAGAAATTGTTTTTATATCTATCTCGTCTCTCACGTACCACAATATCGCCTTGTAAGCGTGCGATATACTTCTATAGGCGTTTTAGTACAATAAATATTCTAAACTAAAACGAAGCATTGGCCACTATGAATTTGGCACGCTGCTGTGACGACGTTTACGACAATTTTCAAGATACCAACTAAATTATATGGTCACCACACCACACTTCGTACAGATTACTTTTATATCTTTATCGTCGTATAAGTATATATCGGTGCCAGCCGAACTTTTCCTCAAGATAAATGTCGATCTACTTTTCTCCGTCGCGCGTATAATTTGGTTCGTGTGGCTGGCTGCGCGATTGGGCAATGAAGAGATTATAATAAAGTTAGAACAGTCTAGGGGACCATTAATTCTGCACAATCTTATAGGAAATTTTCGTGAAAAACACGTTTCATCCATTTGCATCGTCTGAACACAGGGGAGATTCAAAAAGCTCAAAAGAATTGAGTTATAGGTAATTAGGTGTAAAAATTATGTTGAATCTCTTTCCGGTTATGATTTTTTCTGAAACTTGTAGGTAATAGGTATTAATGTGTAGAGAGGAGTGCGCAGTTTTTAATTTTCCTTATTTATGACTCTGTATATAAATACAGCTATTAACAAACGACGCAGTACTAGCAATAAAAACACACTTACCGTCATTGAATAAACATTCCTTCTTAAAGAACTATCGAACATTGATTAGTAGGTAGATAAATATACAGTGCCGTAGTAGAAGTTGTACAGCTCGCCGATAGATCGGGCGATAAAGCTCGCTTTGTTCCCTGTTGTTTAGCCGCTCTCAAGTACATTATCTGCCAGTATTTTCCTACACAATGAGGGCAAGTACATTTCGGTACACTTGATTCAAAAAGCTTTCAGCATTCACGGTTCACAAAGGAAAACGATTAGAGCTCGAACGGTGTTTTATTATTAAACCGAGGCACATGTGAAGCTATTTTCTCGGTACGTCAACTGCAGGAAAAAAGCAGAGAACAAGGTCGTCAGTTGTACCTCTGCTTTGTTGACCTGGAGAAAGCGTTCGACAGTGTGCCTCGTGAGGCTCTCTGGATGGTGCTAGGAAAACTGGGGTGCACGGAGAAGTTTGTGCGCCTCCTGAGACTCCTGCATGACAATATGCAGTGCTGCGTCTCTGTAGACGGTGAACAGTCTGATTTTTTCCCCGTCACCTGTGGGGTGAAACAAGGGTGCGTTCTAGCGCCCACACTGTTCGCCTTATACTTTGCGGTAGTAGTCAAGGAGGTCCTAAATGCTGTCTCCGAAGGAGTCCGCATCCGCTCCCGCACTGATGGCAGTCTTTTCAATTTGGCTAGACTTAAGGCGCGCACCAAAGTCTCGCATGCACTTATTACTGAAATTATGTATGCCGATGACTTGTGCTTTCTTGCAGAATCCCCAGAAGGCCTACAACAACTGATGACCGTTTTTCACCAAGCATGCTGCAAATTCGGCCTTAAGATTAGTGTCAAAAAGACGGAAGTGATGTCCCTGGATACACAAGGTCGTGAGACACTGACAATTAAGCTTGGTGAAGATATGTTGAAACAGGTTGACAAGTTCCGATATCTGGGGAACACTATTACAGCTAAGTGTGACCTTGATGCTGAGATCAATAGCAGAATCAGTGCTGCAGCTGCAGCATTTGGGAAGCTGCGTTCCAAGGTTTTCTGCTCGCACGACCTTAAACTAGCCACAAAATTATCTGTATATAAGGCGATTGTGCTGCCAAACCTTCTGTACTCTTCCGAGACCTGGTGTGTGTATCGTCACCACATACGCACTTTGGATCGATTCCACTCAAATGCCTTCGCACCATCATGAAGATCAGATGGTCCGACCGAGTGCGAAACACCGAAGTTCTAAGACGAGCCAATGTTGGTGGCATTGAAGCCTACTTAATGCGTCGACAGCTTCGGTGGTGCGGTCACGTATCCCGGATGGCGGATGAGCGAGTGGCGAAGCGCATCTTCTATTCTGAGCTAGAGGAGGGCAAGCGAAAGCATGGCGGTCAACTCCTCCGATTTAAAGATGTTCAGAAGAGACACATGAAAAGATGCAATATCGAACCCTCTCAATTTGAGGTTTTGGCAGCACAACGGCCAGAATGGCGCGGTCTTGTAAAGAGGCGAATCCGCGACTTCGAGGAGCAGCGTAAAGCAGACCTTGACGCTAAACGCGATGAACTGAAGGCTCGTCCTCCCGCCGCCATTAACTACAATTATATCAATGGCAAACTCACGTGCCCACACTGTGCACGGGAGTTTACTGCCAAAATAGGCTACAATAGCCACCTACGAGCGCATCAGCGCCGACTTGATTAGGAGTAGAAGTGGTCGCCATGGCCGAAACCGGCCGGAAAGATCATCATCATCATTATTAAACTCTACGGTATTGACAGAGTTTTTTACTAATGTCTGATTTTTATTCAGATGGACTCAACTGACAGCTAAGAATGACCTATTTTTTTTAAAATGTTGCAATCATTTGTCTAGTGTTGTGGTTTGACTCATTCATTTGATTCTTTGAACTTTAGTGACATGATTCCTTGATGTATTTGTTTTCGTTAATAAATAGCTATATTTTACGTAAAAGAGTTTACATTTACGCGTATATTTTATATTTATACGCATAATTTTTTTCTTATTTTATGTAAATAAAATTATAAAATTAAATTGTTTGTGCAACTACTTGTTCAACTATCTTTTTCAAGGTAAAGGTTGCCTGGAAGAGATCGCTGCAACTGCAAGTGATAAGGCTGCCTTTGCTTATTTCTAGCTGTAAGTTTTCTGTATTGTTGTTTTAATCATTTGTGGTGTATGTTCTATCTATCTATAAAAACATCTGGTTGATTTGAATTTTTCCCCAGTCAAAGTCTGAGTTACGACCAAAGTTACTACATGGCTGCGTTCTCCTTAGGTGTAAGGAGGTCTGGATGTCAAGTCATTATCGATTTTTCCGTAAGAAGAAGTTTATAAATTAGATTTTATTTTAAAAACTAGCTTTCCGCCCACGGTTTCACTCGCGGTATTATCTGTTTGGTCTAATAAAAATGATTTAAATACATTGCATTTAAAATCCAAAATTTTGAAACAGATTGCATCAAAGATCACGAACGGTGGAGTTCGACTACTTGACAATAGATGGCGTCACTACTTGAGGGATAGAAAAAGCCCTTATAACTTTAAAAATACGCCCTTTAAGTTAAAACGGGAACTTTCTTGTTTGAGGGGAGATAAAGGGCTATTGCACTATATAAGTCCCTTAATCGTACCGGAAATCCTTTTAAAAGTTTTATCGGCAAGTACATTTTTATCAACTTAGTTTTATTATATTATAATGATTAGATTAAGTTTATAAATTAGATTTTAAATTATGAAATGTTAGGGGCTGTATCAAGGGTGATGTACAGGACTGTGGCAACTTTCGAGGAATAAAGCTCATGTCACATACGTTAAAAGTATGGGATAAGGTGATAGAAAGACGATTGCGAGTGGAATGTGAAATTACTTAAAACCAGTTCTGGTTTATGCCGGGCCGGGAACAACGGCTGCCATTTTTGCACTTCGCCAATTGTGCAAAAAATACAGAAGTGCCCAAAAGAACTTGCTGCTTACCAAAAAAATGCTGTCGATGAGCTCGCTGCAGCTTACGGTGTCACCATTTTAAGACTGCCCCCTTACCACTGCGAACTGAATCCCATAGTTAGTATGGGCACAGGTAAAGGGGCATGTCGCGAG